AGCGTGGTGCTGACAACACCAAGTCAAGGGTTAAGATTCCCTTACCGGTCATCTTTTAAAGTAAATAAATAAATAAAATAAAGTACATTAAAAAAATAAATGTGTGAGAGAGAGACAGAGAAAGTAGCTGAAGAGACTAAGGGTTAGAGAAAAATCGGTAGAGGGTAATGACATATATGCCAGGACAAGAGCATTTCCAAGAGGGAAGTAAGGCCAATAGTGTTTTATGCTTAGAGAGGTCAAGCAAGGTGGCTAAGAAGTATCCATTGGATACTCTCACAGCCCTCTGCAGTGCTGAGGTGGAATAATAATCTTTCTGTGTCAAGAGAGGGGTTCTAAAGTAATCATTACAGCTGGGTTCTCTTGGACTGGAGTGGGGGATAATTATGCAGCAAGCTGTGGATATAAGGCTGAGGGCAGATTGATGGAGGCCACGGGCACATGCCAGTGTGAATGGATGACCACTGAGGACTGATGCTCACCAATGCCTGGCACTAAATAAGCCCGTAGAACCTAGCTGCTGCTATCTTAAATTTTGCCATCTGGCAGAGTAGGGGGTTGGGAAAAGAGTTGTTTTTCTGAGTTGCAGAAAAACAATGACTTTCTTGCACTACTGAAACTGTGGACTAGGACATAGATCAGCTGTAAAAGTACAGGCAAATGTTTGAACAAGTTTGGCTGAAGAGAGGTAGCTGAGGGAGAGAATGGGAGAGGTGGGTTTTTTTTCCCTTTCAAGTGAGAGATTAGATCATGTTTAAATGTTCATGGGAGGGATCTGATTCAGCAGGAAGGCTAAGGATACCAGGAAAAGGAGACAACTGATAGCATGAAATTCCTGAGGCTGGAGAAAAGACCAGCTTCTTGATTGTAATTGGAAAGACAGAGCTGAGAACTGGTATAAATCCAGTTTAACTTGTTAGGTTTGGTGGCTAACACATGAGAGTATATGTATCTGATGGCTTCTATTTTTCCGGTGAAGTAGGAGCAAAGATTATCTTCTGAGAAGACAGGGTTAGATAAAGGTTTGAGTGGAAAAAGTTTGAAGGGTCACGAAAGTGAGCTTAAAGAGTGAATTCACAAGTGAAAGTTCTAGATTGCTGGGCAGGGTGGAGGGGCCAGGTGAGGCTATGGGTCCTTGGTGCAGAGGGTACTAATGGTTCTGATTCTGTAATTTTTCTCCAACTATGTTCAGCTGCTCTGGAGCATGGATGGAGAAGATGGATGCTTATGGTTATTAGTATGTGAACATGAGGGTTAGGATTATTCCAGAAAATAACTGCTCAGAACCTCTTCATGTATTTTTTAAAAACATGCATCTTATATAGCTGCCTCCAAATTAAACAAATCCTTTCATGTAAATTTTATCCATATATTTTTCCATCCCTTTGACAGTTGTCTTTATCTTCCCTGGCTCTTTTGTAGGTTTCCCACCATCTTATATAAATGAGAGAGAGAGAGTGAACTTCTGGCACCAATCTACCAGGTACAAATCTTATGTTTAGCACTTATTAGCTGTGTGATCTTAGGTAAATCACACCTGTGCTTCAGTTTTCTCATCTGTAAAATAGGAGTGATAATAATAGTAATCCCTTCAATGGGTTGTTCTGAGAATTAAATGAGCTAATGTACATACTATGCTATTACTTGTCGCTGTTATTACTGCAACCCAAATAAAATACTCAAAATGGGAGCAGAATAAGACATGAAGAATTACATTCTGGCCTTCACCTATTATGCAATACTTAATACATCCCAATATTTCCTAACTTCTTTTTTCCTTTTTCCCACGAAGTTGCTGTAATTGCACACTCATCATGAACATGAGGAAAGATCTAAGTCTAAGGTCCAAGATTTGGCAGTCATTCTTTCTCCATCTTTTATTCAAGGCATTAATTTTTGTCTCTAAGTATTTACAACTGGACCAGCTTGGTTGTTGGCCTTTATCTGCATACCTTTTGCTTCCAAATTTATCTCTTTTCTTTAATAACCTCTTTTGTAAATGCCACACCATTCCTTCCCCACAAGTAAACTAAAGACTGCTTATGGCCAATTCTTACAAAGCACAAGGTCCTTGATTACGCTGTAAACCCTCTGCAGTCAGGTACTGTGATTTCTACCTGTTAGTAGCCTTGGCACCTAGGAAGTTGTCGTCATATGAAGTAGGAAGCAAAAATGATTAACAATGATGATGATGATGATGGTGATGATGGTGATAGTACTGCAACTTCTTATCCTTGGTTTCCATACCAAGGGGGCAGCAGAAGGTAGAGATGGGAACATGGGGCTCTGAGGCCAAACAGTCTACAGTTCAAATCCCAGTCCTACCACTGAATAGTTGTCCAGCCTTGTACTAAAAAACAAACATAACATTGTAAATTGTTCAGGAACTTGTTAGCAACATTCTCTTTCCCCTCTAGTTCTTGCCAACCATGGTTTTTAGACCCATTAACATAATGTTTTCTTTCTCAAGCCATTCCTTTCCTAAAACCTCCTACCACTGATGAAGTAGGGTAGGAATTTGCTTTCTTTTCTTAAGTCCTTCCTGCCATCACCTTGTCACTTCAATCTCTCAGATGGTCCCTTCACTCACCAGGCAGGCATATTCCATGCCCCGTTTATTTTTCAACACCTTCCTTCAGTTCTTCCTCTCAGGCAATACCCTATTTTGCAACATGCTCACCTCCTTCCCCTAAGATTTCTAACTCTTTCTGCCCTTTATTCACAATTGCCTAATTTCTGTTCTATGATGCCTTTCATAACTGGAAGAATTGACCTTTTCTCCCATAGCCCAGACGGGACTTCCATTTTCTCACTGTGCCCCAAAATACGCAACTATTTTTTGCCTTTAACCGGCAAACACTGCGGATATCAGCTAAACATTAGTCAGCCACATTCAATCTGTATGTATTTTATAATAATAAGTGCTAGAGGACAGATTATCTAATCTACTTTGTACTACACTGAATGTAGCAAAATATACACAGATAATTTATAAACTTCTGATTGTGATGATATCCCAAGAACACACACACAAAGAACATCTTTTGCTCTGACACGGATAATGTATTTCCATCTTTGATCACAAAATAATGACATACACCCAGCTGTCACGCAGGCTTAAATACTAATAAACATCTTTAAATGCTTTACAAGAACAGATGTTGGTTATTTCATATCATATTTGATGTCTTTTCATACCTAGTTTAAAATACTTTAGTTAAGGCTGTGAAGAATTCAACAAAAGAGGGGCAAGATGGAGGGGAAAGAAAGAGGGAAAAAACACAAAAACATCTTTGAAAATTCTGAGTAAATGATTCTGTGTACAGTGGCATTTAATGTGAGAAATTTCACATACACAAATCCCAAATTGTGCTTTTGAATTTTTGTGAAAATCATCTTTGTTTTGCTCATTTCTGAAGTATTTTCAGTTTGTCTGAAGTACCTGATTTTTTGCTAGTTTTTAATACCATGTTATAAATATATAATAATCCCACACCTGTTCTCCCTTTCTAATAAAGACTACATTATTTTAGACAAGTCACGTATGTAAAGCAACAATCAGGTATTTTTAAAAGATACTCAAGTTCCAAATGTGGGAGAGTATGATTATCTTGGAAAGCTCTATGGTTATTCCAAGAATGTGGCCACTTCTCAAATATTTTTAGAAATTCTCTTTAAAATCATTCTCAATTAGTTAAAAGCCACATAGGAGAGCCAATGTTGTTACTTTATAAAAAATAAAAATAAAGTGGCATCACTCACCTTATTCAATCACCTTGACTTCTAATTACCTTTTTTGTTGTATCCAAAAATCAAATTTACCTCAAAAGACAAAGATTTTCTGCTATGTAAGTTTTTTTTCTTTAAATGTGAAGCCATTCTAAGAGCAGTATCCCCCAAATTGTCAGAAATAAAAGTAGCAGGTTAGAATTAGTATACAGCTGCAAAATTTCCCAAGGTAGATAGATTTGGGGGTAGGATAGGAGTGAAAGGGACATGAATTTTTATGTATCATCCTGAAATACTTTTAAAAACACACACATTTATGCTCATACTCCTATTCACCCTTCAAGTGGTTGAATTGTATCTAGTAATAAACCACCTTCTTAAAATCCTAAAATGGTTTAATTGCGGTATTAATTTAAAATCTCCCATAAAGGTTATAAGGGTGTGGGGTGTGGAAATGCACCAGTGTGTGTAAGCGTAAGAATTTTCCACTCCCAGCCTAAGCACCCAAAGCATGTGTCAGAGGAGCAAGTTCTAGAATCTGAAGTTTTGTTGAATGCTGGTGGTTTACAGGGGCTTTCAGGCAGCTGTGAGGGTCTCCATTCATTCCTGAAATTATGCATTTGAACAAATACTGGTTGCATTCAAGATTTTGTTTGTTTCACAGTGTGATCCTGTACATAAGCTTTTCAGTATTTGTGAATTTTATTTTAGTCATTTTTGGCACTTACAGTTCACAACACTTGGTTGTGTGGTTTAAGATTGTTTTTTAATTTTTGCATTTTACATTCCTTTTGGCACTTTTGAAGAAAGGGACATTGTCTTTTATGTTGTTTGGGGGGATTGGTAACCCTCCCCCTCTGTCTCTTTAGTTTAAATGTTTGGCTTTATGAAATCCCACGATTACCCCGGAATTCTGTATCATTAAATGAAGAGGGTGGAAATTTGCCTTCACCAGGTGTCCATCCCAACCCTTCTTAGAGGCTGGTATCCCCGGTTTCGGATTTAGGTTGTTTGGCCGCTACAGTCACCGGCTCCAGTGGCCCCTCGCGGCAGAAAAGCACAACTGGGTTTTTGCGGGCCCACATGGCAAGGTCTCGCCCCGCACCGCCGGCCGGGTTGGAAGAGGACCTCTTGCTGCAGGTGCCCAGCCGGTTGTTATAGCGGTTTCGAAGACGGTTGCGGCTTCTGGCTTGAAGACCCGAGCCCTGGCTGGGCAGGAAAGCGTCCACATTCCTAGTCCGGTAGCCCTCTTCGCGGTTGCGCCCAATGAGCATGGAAATGTTGGGGTTGCGGATGGCATAGATGACAGGGTTGATGGCCCCATTGGCCCAGGTCAGCCAGACAGCCACCACGTTGAGGAGCGAGGGGGCCTGCGTGGCCTGGGCTTGCCGGGCTGCGGCCAGCAGCACCAGGAAGCAGTAGGGGCCCCAGCAGCAGATGACGAAGACGATCATGATGAGCACGGTGGTGGCCGTGCGCACCTCGCTGAAGAAGCGCAGCACGCGCGCGTAGGTGGTCACAGGCCGCACGCGCACGTCCGACAGGCGCACGGTCTTGCAGATGTGGTAGTGGCAGAAGCACATGAGCAGGAAGGGCAGCAGATAGCAGGCCACCACCAGCCCCACGCTGTAGGCCGCGCCCAGCTGCGCGGGGTCCGGGGAGGTCCGGTAGAGGCAGCCGTGGAAGCTCTGCGCCGTCGGGGGCTCCCGGGTCGCCCCGAGCAGCTCCCAGGGCAAGGAGAAGCCCAGGGCCGCCAGCCAGGCGCCCGCCAGCAGATGCAGCGCGCGGCGGCGGCCGAGCTTCCAGCTGTACCGTACA